GAATCTATAAATAAAATCGTTATCAATATTGAATAACTATTATCATAATAGCGAATCGATTTAAGTCAAAAGTTAGTGTATTTCATTGTGACGAGCATCATATTTAGATCCATCTTAAAATAAAATGTGTACACTCGTAACTACGAAATAAATTAAGACGAAAAGAAACATTCAATGAGTATATATATATATATATATGTCACGTTACATCTTTCCTAATTGAAAATTCTATCGTTGTATTTTCAACTTTATGTTGTTGTTCTTAGGAAAGTCTGCAGAGATATTATAGAGCAATAAATATGAGTAAAAAAATTGGCGAAATAAAATTTTTCAATTAAGGTTAAGTATTCCTGTTTCATGCTTGTTGAATAAGGAGGACACGGAGCGGCTGTGTCATTGGTCGAAAACACTTTGAGTGCTGGCCACCTTAGTTTTTCAAGCACGCTGCAAATTTCTAATGTAATTCGTAATCGTTGATTACTTGAAAATTATACTGTTTCAAAATCTAGAAGAAGTCATTCGGTGTTGATTTATCAGCCAACTAGACTTCCTGCTAGATGTTTTCAATTTTTCATACGTTAAACAACAAATAGAAAAACTTCTCAGAAAATTTATGTTCTATGTACGCACACTAGTCGAAGAAAGAGGATTGATTCACGTTGTATGTGTAGGTATTATAGTGTAAGTCTTTATGCTGTTCTTTCTTTCAAGAAATTTCAAACTTCATTAAATTTTACGTTTTTTTTTGCATTTGATTTTTCTTTTCATATCTTATTGTTTTCTAAAGTATTAAAAAATCATTTGTTGAGTATCAATCATTACAAGTGCTTTAGAAGATTTCATTGCTCTTGAATTAATATAATAATATTAAAATTTTAATACAAGCTGTACATCTATGTTTTAAATGCGTAAGAAAAATATTTTCTTTTGACTGTAGATGAGGGTAAGCAAAGGATATTCATCCACAACCTCTTGTCTTTGTTCCCACCTATAGTCAAATGCGAAAATTTTGATTACTCATTTCAGACAAAGATGAATAGTTTGTATCGAAATTTTCATATTATTATATCAACTTACGAATGGTGAAATCTTATAGAGTACTTTTTGAACTATCCATATATAAAGAGAGAAAACTTTCGCAAGTTTCTTTTTTTTTTTACAAGATATCATAATACTGGCACCACTATTTTTGACATACTCAAAATAATTTGTTTGTTAATAATCAATAAATTCTTTTTTTTTATCAATAGTTATCAGACATGTTCATGCCCAAGTGATGAACGATTCCTCGCAGGTGGTTGTCAAGCAAGTAAGTGTGAAATTTAAATTTCTCTTATGAAATATAAAAATAACTTTTCTTTATATCTTAGAAAATAATCAATGTGCACCTGGTCGTATTCTATGTCAAAATCGTTTAAATTGTGCTGAATCAGCTCATGCTTGTGAACAAGATCATACACAATATACTGAAGCATTTAAAACTACAGCACGTTGTACACTTGATAAACCCAATGATGGTTTTGATTGTTATTATACTGGTACTGAATCAAATCATGCAAATCATACATGTATTCCATTTGAATGGCTTTGTGATGGTGTTTATGATTGTCCATTGGGTAATGATGAAGAACATTGCCATAAAATAACAACAACAGCAAAACCAGCAACAAGAATACCAAGTCGATGTTTAACTGAAAGACAATGTAAGTTAAGACAAGATAAAAATTGTTTTATTTGTTTGTTTTTTTTGTCATATTTATTTTTTAGTTACTCATGTTATGTGTGGTGATAGATGCATGAGAATTAGAGATGTTTGTCGAAATGCATCCTATGCATCATTATGTTCAAGTCAATTTCATCTTAATTGTAAACAAACAAATGAGAAAAATCAAGTAAGTATGAAATAAATAAAATTTTGAATAGATGAAGAAAAAAAAACCCAGTTTTTAAAATTATTTTTAGTATATTTGCAAATGTCATGATGATAAGAATCGTTGTATTGCAATGATTGAAAATTGTGATGATTTTGAAAGTTGTGAACAAATTTGTCAAGATTCAATTCATTATGGTATATTAGAAATTCTTTATAATTAAATAAAACAAATATTTTATTTTTTATTTTAGCACTTTCAAAATCGAATAAAATGGATGCAGCTTCATCAAAAATATGGATCATACTTGCTGTTGTCATACTTATTATTCTTCTTATTGCTATCATTTTTATGACTGTTCGTTATATGCGTCAAAAAAATGCAAGAAAAACTCCAGCACAATCACGTATGTTGGAAAAAAAACAAAATAATAATGTGTTGTTTATTTTTTAAATTTAATTTCAGGTACTCCAGCTGCACCGGTAGTAACAACAACTAATTCTTCACCGAGTGATGCTCATCAACAACTACTCAATCAAGGTACTAATATAGCCAATGAAACAAGTTAAACTATAATCTTTTTATTTCCGTTTAATATATATATAATTAGCTTTGAATTTTCTTCTCTTGTTTTTTTTGTCTTCTTACATTCAAGTCTTTTCCTCATTCAGTGTATGTTGTCTATCTGTCTTAAACCGGTGCAACGCATCAGTCATCTGTCTTTCTCTTGCTCTCTCTCTCTCTCGATTATTATTTTTTTTTGTATTTCCATATGTGTTAAAGCACTGTGCAACCATATGAAGGTTATGATCATGAGATTTCTTTATTTTCTTCAGTATATATTTTGTGTGTTTGGGTTTTTTGTCTATTAGGTAAAGAAACAAAAAAAAAACAAGTAAGCAGAAATAGAAATATTACTAAATATAATCCTAGTATTATGAAAACATCGATTTAATAATTCATCATTTATATGTTTTTTTTTGTTTCTTTCTTTTAATCTATGAAACACGAAAAAAAAAATTAGGTAGTACACAGATCTGCAGTTTTGTCTTCTTGATACTTCGTAACAGATATAGAAATAAAAAGCACGAACAAAATAAAAAAAAGAAAGAAGAAAACGGATGTGAAAAGGCAAAACGAAGTGACACACATACAGAAATCGAAATTTTTATATTTTTTTGTTTTTTGTGGTTTTTTTTTCTCGTTGTTTTTAACAGAAAAACATACAACGTGCACAAGCGCAAGAGCGGGTATATTCTTAAATAAGTAAAAACAAAAATATATACGAATCATTGCGCCATTTTCTTATTTTTTTTTGGCTTTATCGTCTCGCAACCTATTTCGAAAGAACAGTATGTACAAAAAACAACCAAAAACAAAAACGACAGAGACATCAAGAAACTGAATAATCAAAAACACAAAAAAAAACCGAATAAGAATTTTTAAAATATATGTTGGAACATTTTTTTATTTTTAAATTTAAAATTTTAGTCACTTTCACTTATTTCACCTTCTTCGCCTTCATCATCTTGAGAATTAGTAGGTTTAGTTTCATTCGAATAATTTGTTGATAAGGATCGTTTATCATGTGCAGATGATAAATCTTCATCATTATCAACACTACCAGATATTTCATTTAATTGAGCTAATAATTTATCGCGTTTTATAAACAATTGATCCATATCTTGATGTTCTATAAAAAGAAAAGATTTATTATTAGAAATAGATTTATTTGAAATGCTTCTGCAGTGAGATTAATGTTTGTCTATTTAAGAGTACTGGTTGAACTTAAGATTTTTCTATAGCTGGATTATCGAAAGTGATGAGACTAATGTTGAGAGAAAAAATTTTCAAAATAGATTTTCAAAAACCATCGGGTCTACTTACGATTCAACTTTTACTTTGTCCGATTGGACGAAAATTTCTTCGGTAGATACCTGGTGGATTTGATGTTCTCATTTCAAGGAAAAAAAGCAAATCAAAAGATCGGAAATTTTCACAGCAAACCATTCTTATTCAGGTTTATCTGAAATTTCTAAGGAGGACCACAACATTAAGTAAAATATTATTGTAAAAATGCAATTTTCCACTATACTGCTAGAAAGCTGTCATTGATATTAAAATGAAGGTAAAAGCAAACTCTATAACTTTTAATAGAGTCAGATTTTTCGAATTTTGCTTTAATGTTTACTAAAAACGAATCGTTCTTAGCCTACACTCCCTCATTTTTTCGTACTTTATCAAAGAAGCTCTAGAGAAATACGAACTAGGAAAAAATAGGTTCGGTTAAGTTGTGCAGCGCCATACCTTGGCTACATTTTACAACCAATCCAAACTTTCTGACATTTGAAATGATGAGAGATCTATAGGGATGCACCAATTCCAATTCCAATTCTTGGCTTGGAATTGACGGAATTGGTAGGAATTGGTTGGAATTGGAATTGGTTAGAATTGGGTCAAGTCACCTAAAAATCTTATGGAACCCCAGGAATTGGTCTGAAACTGGCTAGACTTGGCTTGAGCTGACTACAATTGGTATGGAGTCCTAAGAATTGTTATGTAATTGGCCTAAAATTGGCTCGAATTGGACCGTATTGCCCACAATTCGTATGGAACCCTAGGAATTGATCTTAAACTGGCTCGAATTGGGCCGAATTGTCTACAATTCCTAGGATTCCATAAGAATTGTAGTCAGCTCAAGCCAATCCGGGCCAGTTTCAGACCAATTCCATACCAGTTCCTAGGATTCCATGCGAATTATGGGCAATACGGTTCAATTCGAGCCAATTTTAGGCCAATTACATAACAATTCTTAGGACTCCATACCAATTGTAGTCAGCTCAAGCCAAGTCTAGCCAGTTTCAGACCAATTCCTGGGTTTCCATAAGATTTTTAGGTGACTTGACCCAATTCTAACTAATTCCAATTCCAATTCCGACCAATTCCAATTTCAACCAATTCCGTCAATTCTAAGAATTGGAATTGATTGAAATTGGAATTGGTGCATCCCTAGAGATCTAGGACGTACGGACATCTATATTTTGATGCATACCTCTAAGTTCAATCTTTATCAACTCAATGTATTCAAAACAAATTCGTTGAGGGGACCCCTAAATCAATCTTTCATGTTTATGTTAGAAAATTACCAGAAGATTTTATATTTGACTTTAATGGATTATTTATTTTCTTTTTTCCATTTGTTTCTGTTTGTTGAGATCCACCCCGTCGATTATTATTCGCATTTGCTCCTGTCATTGTTGTATCACGTTTTGTTCTTCTCATAGCAAGACGTTCTTCAGATTCATACTTATATTGATTATAATTCGAATTTGGTAAATGTGGTCCAACATTTCCCATTGCTATAGGATGTGGTGGTAATTCGAATGGTGGTCGAGTAGGTGGTGGGTATCGATTTAGTGGATGATGATGACTACGTGATCCAGATTGCATTAGAGGTTGAGGTTGAGGTGGTGGTGGTGGTGGTGGTTGTGAATAATAAGGCGGTTGCATAAGTGGTGCATGATGACGTTGATGATGATTTTGTAAAAAATTGAATCTACCAGCACCACTTGTTGGTTCAACTGGATGCATCATAGATCGATTTGATGGCGGATAATATGGATGACTTGGTAAGAGAGGTGGTACAGTTTGTTGATGTCCATAAGGTTGTGGTGGCGGTGGTGGCCCTGGTAATAAACCACCAGATTGTCTTGTTTGTTGCCAATGTGGTTGATGATGAGAATGAGGATAATGATGATGTGATTGATAATGCATTGGAGCTGGTGGATAATTATTATTATTATTATTATGAGTATTATTGTTATTATTATTATTTTCACCATATTCATTATCATCATCGTAACTATTTGAACGACGTCGTGAATGATGTTTGTTTGAACGTCGTTTAGATGATCGATGTCGACTTCGACTACGTCGTTTACGTGATGAAGATGATGATGATGACGATGATGATCGAGAACGAGAGCGAGAATGTGAACGTGAACGGGATCGAGATCGAGAGCGTGAACGAGAACGTGATCGTGACCGTGAGCGAGACCGAGAACGAGATAATGAACGACTAGGAGGTGAAAGAACAGTTTGTTTAGAAGTAGATGATGGATTTATCGAATTTTTTAATTCATCAATTAATGTCATTGAAGTTGTTTTTAATGGACGATTTTTGGACGTCAATTTCTTGCTTGTCCCTATCGACGAAGCTGTTGTTGCTTCAGCGACTTTAGAATCAGCTAAAGTAAACATTAACAACTATTTTAATTCAGATTCATCTAAGAAGGGTAGCGATTTTTAGATCAATGCCTATGCATATAAACATTAGAATAAAAATACTTTTTACTGAAAGTCAAAGTTCATTTTCAGCACGCTTGCGAAATCTCGTGAAAATATACCACTACTGAATGTCAGAAATTATTATAATAGCCTGTCTTATTTATCCGATCAGTGTGAGGCTAAATTATAACTTATTATCTTCTGATAAATTAATGTAATGTGCAATTTGTTCAACAAATTCATAAAGAAGCTTCACAAGATTGAATTGAAATTCTCAAGTTTTGATATCAATGCTAGAAAATATCAATAAAAATGTTTTTTTTTTCGGATATATCCTATTTTAATTTAAATGGCTTATCAATAAATATCTATGTATATAAAACATATGTAAACATTTGTTTGACTTCAAAATACAAACCGATTACACAAAAATATTATTTCGAAAGCAAATTTTCTGCAGTTTGTTTTTTTAAGATTTTTAAAAAAATAGAGTTAAATATTTCAATTCATGATAATCATTTTCAACAAATGTTTTAAAACAAATTATATAAAATAAAACTTAACAAAAAAAATATACTATCATAATATTAAAAAGGCAACCGAATTATTTGAAATGTAATGGATGTTTCAGATGAACTTGTACTAAATGTCAATGCTTTTCTTTCTCATTTTATATTTACTTTAAATATTTTGTATATATGCCAAATGTAGCTCATCAAGTGGATTCCATCCGATTCAAAATTTTCCAATACAGACTCTCTTTATTGAAATGTTTTGAGCCCAAACAAACTCTATCAAGGCAAGCCATGAAGGCAAATTGTTTTATACCAATACATAGAAAATTTCGTGTTTTAGATTTCTACCATTGTTGCAAGACTTCTCTATGTATGAATCAGGAGAAAAGGACTTAGAGCTGACACAACTAAACCACAACAATACTAACATTATCTATAATTAGAAAAGAAAAATTGTACAGGTCTATCATAGAATGATTTCTTCAGTATTTTCAGGTCTGTTTTTTTTTATTTAGAGGTCGCTTATCCGAAATATTTCATTTCAAATTCTGAAACATACATTCAAAAATGCAAAATATAATAGAGAATCGTGTGACATTCTAAAAATTCCAATGGAAATATTATAAGAAAAAAAAAAGCTTCTAGTTTATATTGGGTTTTTTTGAAAGTCGCAATTGAATGAACGTTCGTTTTATTTTAGATTAGCACTAATAAAGAAAATTGATTTAGAAAATCGATGGAATAGTTTTGTAGAGCTTCACAATGTTTTTACGAATATCAAATGAAAGAAAAAAACATCGAGGTTTACTATAATGTCATCTGGAACATGCTGTACTTATTTAAGTTTCAATTTGTCGAGAAATGATTTAATGACGAAGAGACTTCTATTATCAGAGAATCTTCTATTGTGTGAAAATATTTGTTTCATTGTTAATATTTAAAAAAAATTAAATAATTAACAGATAATTAAACTAACCTGCTCCATTATTGGTATTTTTACTGTTATTAGGTTCTACAATTGTTTGATTTTGATCACTGCTTTCCGATTGTGTTCGATGTTTTGGACTATCAAGATCCATTGCTACACATTCAAAATCATCTACAGATGCTGATGGTTCTATAATATTTCTTTCATATGTTCCATCATTTGAAGTGAGACCTAATGAAGCTTTTTTCTGACGTTTTAATAATTGTTCAGTTCGACTATCAGTCAGAAGAGGTGATGTCGTTGTATGTGGTTCGTCAATTTTTGATAATTCTTCATCAACAGCTCGCATATTTTGATGAAAAAATCTTCGAGCATTTGAATCATCTTCTAGTTCTTCATCCGATGATGCTGAATCCCAAAGATTATTCGATTTATTAGTTGTCCAAGGATCTTGAAAATCATTAGACATTGAAGGTACTGAAGATATTGATTGTGTACTTATTAGATTTGATGAAGAATTTGGGCGTGAAATAGGAACACCAGGTGGTGTTGAAAAATTTTTTCGATTAAGCGTTTGTGAAAGTTCATTAGTTAATGATAAAACATGAGGTTGATTGGTACGAGAATCAATCAATGCTTTTGTTGTTGAAGGTATAGATCGAGATGGAAGTGATGGCGGTGGTAAAGTTGGTGGTGATGGTGGAGGATAAAGTGTTGATGAAGGATCCTAAAATTGTATTTAAAAAAAATTATGAAAATAGATTTTTTCTTGAGAAGATTATTACTTACAGGTGAAAGTGGTGATTGTGATTGAGTATTTTCAAGACCAATTGAACTTATACGAGAAAAATTTGTAGTTGTACGTGTATCATTATCATGTAATGATGAATAACGTTGATTCGATATTGATGGTTGTTTTCCAAGAATAATATCTATATTATCATCAACACCTCTAGGTGATAATGATATCAATGGATCTGAATTATTGATAGGATTTTGTTGAGATCGATTCGGACGTTGTGGTGAACGACGTTTTGGAGAAAATCGTTGAATATTAGACAAATTTTTTTCTAATATATTTGAACCTTTATTATTACTTAATGTATTTCCTGAAGAAGGAATATCCGACTTTTGATCAGTAAGACTTTTTAATGATGTTAATTTGTCTGTAGATTTTGGTTTAATAGCTGGATTTAATTTTGGTATTTTCCCAAGTATAACAGGAGATGGTTTTATTGAAAGTGATTCAGTTGATGATTTAGTTGTTGTTGTTGTTGTTGTATTCGAAATATCTGACGATTTCTTCTCTGTTAATTTTGATAATGATGGAATTGATGATGGTCGAACAAGTTGTTTTTCACTGTTGTTATTATTTGATGATGGTATTATATTTTTTGAAGTTTTAATAGGCTTTTTCGGTGTAATAGTTGGTGTTGACTTTTTAGTTGTAATCACTGTTTCTTTTTGTGTAGATGTAGGTCTGAAGAGAAAATGTGTTAGTTGTAAAAAAAATAAAAACAAAAGTATGATTTTTATAATACTTTTTTATTGATTTTTGTTCGACGGATTTATTCGTTTTAACATTAGTGATGGGTTTATTATCCTTTTTTATTTGTGGTGATGGGGGAATTGTTTTTAATCGTACTTTTACTTTTGATTGATCGTTAGTATTTTGAGATTGTTTATTATTTGATAAATTAACATCAAGAGATGCGGATGGTTTATCTAAGAAAAAGGCAATAAGAGAAATTTTATATAACAAACAAAAGAAACCAACTTACTGGTAGTATCTTCTGTTGTTAAAGTAGCTTCATCAATGGTAGATAATGGTGATGAAGATGATGTCTGAATTGTAGAGTTACTAAAAAAAGGAAAATAATTGATTAGTATCCATCGTTTGGTTACGCAACTTGTATATATACGAGCAGAACTTTTATATGGATTATACATATAGTAAAACATTTCATAGTGAACAACTCGTGGTTCGACGAAATAATTTTTTTTTGAAATTGAATCTGTGCATAATGGGCCTCATCATATAGTTCTATAGTGAATACTTTTAAAAAGTTTCAATAGCGTCCAGCACAGGAAGATTTTACTATATTTTAACAATAATTCAATTTTTTATTCATTAAGATTCCTCAGATATTTAAAAAATGCGTCTCTTCCTTGTAAAAGAAAAGCTGCTTCTTTTTAAAAAGACTTAACTTTCTTATATAGTGATTGCTGGAACTCTAATCTTACAGAAGATCAGATATTTAATTTTGTTATCCCTATATTATAATATAAAATGCAGGGTTATTCATGAAGCTACGCGAAGGATTTCACAAGATTTTGACCAACTCTATTGGACTCTGCAAGTACTGAATGTTATGATATTAATTGAAGTTTAATACAATTCGTTGTTTTCTTTTGACATGGACAAGATGTTTGCTCATTTTTGAGCCACCAGAAAGTCTTTCTGATGAGTTCAGACTTTTGCATAAGGTAGACACTAGTGAACTATCAAAAACACTAAAAGAGCGCATTCCGTTCGATTTTGGATAAGTCTGGAAAATATTTTCTTTAGCCAAAATTTTCAGAACATTATTGCTAGAAAGAATTGTCTGTGGACGAAATGTCGTCATTCGATTTATTAGTATATATCATGTCATAGACTAAAATTCCAGTACAATGCCAATAACACTGGGCAAAAGGCTTAAGAACATTTTTCCTTTTGCGGTTTTTCATACTTCATTGAGATCTATATTATGTAGAAAGAGCGCAAATTTCTGATTCTAACTCATCGGAAATATTTTTTTAATAGCTCAAAAATGAACAAACATCTTGTATAAAAACCTTTTTGATCACCAGTTTTCAAGTTTCTATTAATAATGCTAAAATGTTTATCATCTTTGCGAAAATTTTATCGCCAAAAATGTTAGAAGAAAATTAATCGAGGAAAAAAAAAGATTTGAAATTACTTTATTTGGTTTTGATCTATTGGTATTGCACTTGAACTGTTTGATAATGACATTTTATTATTCAAATTTGATTTTTTAATTGTTTTTGTTCGTTCATGAACTGATTGTTCAATAGTAACAGATTTTTCTTGAATATTTTCTTCATTAATTAAACAAGTCGAACGTTTTGTTGACATTGTTGGTATATTAAGAGATGTTTCATTAATAGTTTCATTAGGATTTTCATTAAATAATTGTGTTGGTTTTTGAATCGTAATTATTGTAGATTTAATAGGTAATTGAACAGATATAGATGATTCTGATTGATGTATTGGTGAATAATCTGTTGATGATGAATTTGATTGTTGATCATCACCTGTTTCATCATCATAAATATCTTGTCGTGTACGATAATTAGAACTATCTTGAATTAATGGAGGAACTGTTGCAACAATTAATGGTTCATCTTGATCATCACTACTTTGTGTTTGTTCTTCTTCATTATTAATTGGACATGTTGGTGATGCTCTATATTGACCATCGATTTTTTGAATTTTTGTTTTTATTAATGATGTACGACCATCATTA